AGAAATCACCCAATCAGAACAGCAAAAAGAAAAACAAATCATATCTGATTAGGGGTTAATATCTCAACTATATAAGGAACTCATGAAACTTAATATCAAAAAACAATCTAATTTAAAAATTGGTAAAGGATCTCAACAGACATGTTTCCAAAGAGGAAGGCCTACACATGGCCACCAACATGCTCAACCTCCTGATCGGGCAAATGCAAAACCACAATGACGGATCATATCACACCTGTCAGGATAGCCATTATTAAAAAGATAAGATATAATTGTTGGAGAAAAGGGAAATCTCAGGTACTGCTGGTGGGAATGTAAACTGGTACAACCAATGGAAAATACAGGGGCTCCTCAAAATATTAAAAATAGAACAACTGTATGCTCCATTAATCCAGTTCTGGTACTTATCCAAAGAAACAAAAAACACTAACTTAAAAAGATATATGCACCCCCTTGTACACAGCATTATTCACAATAACCAAGATATAAAAACCTAAGTGTCCACTGATGGATAATCGGATAAAGAAAATATGAATCGCTTCTCGGCCTTTTGGCTAAGATCAAGTGAAGAAAATATGATACACACACATAAATGGAATATTACCTAGCCATAAAAGAAGAAATCTTGCCATATGTAATAAAATGAATAGACCTTGAGGGCATTATGCGAAGTGAAATAAGTGAGACAGAGAAAGACAAATTTGTATTATCTCACCTTCATGCAGAATCTAAGAAAAAGAAAAAACAAAGCCTTGGTGGTTGCCAGACACAGCAGGTGTGGGATGGGGAAAATGCATAAAGTAGTCAAACTATCAAGTTATAAAGTAAGTCATGGGGATGTAATGTACAGCATGGTAACTACAGTTAATACTGTATTGCATATTTAAAAGCTGTTGAGAGAATAATTTTTTTTAAAGATTTATTTGAGAGAGAAAGAGAGAGAATGAGAGAGAGAACACATGAGAGGGGGAGGGTCAGAGGGAGAAGCAGACTCCCTGCTGAGCAGGTCAAAGGAGGAAGCAGACTCCCTGCCGAGTAGGGATTCTGCTTCTCCCTCTTCCTCTGCCCCTCCCCCTGCTCGTGCTCTTTCTCAAGTAAATAAAATCTTTATTATTATTATTTTTTTTTTTTGCGAGAGAGAGAGAGAGAGAGAGAGAGAGAGAGAAACAGCATGAGAGGGGATAGGGTCAGAGGGAGAAGCAGGCTCCCTGATGAGCCGGGAGCCCGATGCGGGACTCGATCCCAGGACTCCGGGATCATGACCTGAGCCGAAGGCAGTCGCTTAACCAACTGAGCCACCCAGGCGCCCTCAAGTAAATAAAATCTTTAAAAATAAATTAAAATACTGCTGAAAGAAACCAGACAACATAAATGTAAACACATCCCAGGTTTACAGATTAATATGTAGATAACTATCCAAAGTGATCTACAGATTCAGTGCAATCCCTATCAAAATCCCAATGATGTTTTTTGCAGAAAGAGAAAAACCCATCTTAAAATTCATATGGAATCTCAAGGGACTCCAAATAACCAAAACAATCTTGAAAAGGAAGAACAAAGCTGGAGGATTTACTTCTTAATTTCAAAACTTCCTACAAATCCACAGTAATTGAAAGTGTAATACTGGCATAAAGACTGTGAAAGAGAGAGCCCAGAAATAAATCATCCCCCACACGTATGGTCAAACGACTTTTGACAAGGATGCCAGGACAGTCAATGGAGAAACGACAATCTTTTCAACAAAAAGTGCTAGGAAAGTGGATATCCACATGCAAAAGAATGAAACTTGATCCTTACCAAACACCATATGTGAAAATTAACTTGAAATGGATTAGAGACCTAAATGTAAGCTCTAAAACTACAAAACTCTTAGAAGAAAACTTAGGGCAAAAAGCTTCTAATCTTGGATTTAGCAGTCATTTCCTGGAAATGCCACCAAAGGCAACAAAATAAAAGACAAATATGACTACACAAAAGTATTAGCATTTTGTACATGAAAAGACAGTATCAATGGAGTAGAAAGGCAGCTCACAGAATGGGAGAAAATACTTGCAAATCAAGTATCTAATAAGTGATTAATATCCATAATACATAGAGAACTCCTATGACTCAAGGACAAGCAAAACAACTCAATTCAAAAATAGGCAAAAGATTTGACAGACATTTCTCCAAAGAATATATACAAATAGGCAATAAGCACATGAAAAAAATAGCCTCAGTATCACTAATTATTAAATCAAAACTACAATGAGATAAAACCTCATATCCATTAGAATGGCTACTATTAAAAAAAACGGCAACAAAAACCCAGAAAATAAGTGTTGGCAAAAGGACATGAAGAAATCTGAACACCTGTGCACTACTGCCAAGAATATAAAATGGGAGGGGCGCCCGGGTGGCTCAGTCGTTAAGTGTCTGCCTTCGGCTCAGATCATGATCCCGGGGTCCTTGGACCGAGTCCTGTGTTGGGCTCCCTGCTCCGCGGGAAGCCCGCTTCTCCATCTCCCACTCCCCCTGCTTGTGTTCCCTCTCTCGCTGTGTCTCTCTCTGTGTCAAATAAATAAAATCTTAAAAAAAAAGGGGGGGGGGGCGCCTGGGTGGCTCAGTCGTAAAGCATCTGCCTTTGGCTCAGGTCATGATCCCAGGGTCCTGCGATCGAGCCCCGCCATTGGGCTCCCTGCTCCGCAGGAGGCCTGCCTCTCCCTCTCCCACTCTCCCTGCTTGTGTTCCTTCTCTCTCACTGTGTCTCTGTCAAATAAATAAAATCTTAAAAAAAAAAAAGACATATATATATATACACACACACATATATATGTGTATATATATATATATATATATGTATATATATGGTAAAGCTGCTATGGAAAACAGTATGGTGGTTCCTCAAAATATTAAAAACAGAATTACCATATTATCCAGCAAATCTACTTCTGGTTACATACCCTAAAGAATGGAAAACAGAGAGGCACCTGCGTGGCTCAGTCAGTTAAGCATCTGACTCTTGATTTCAACTGCAGTCAAGATCTCAGGGTCATGAGATCTGGCCCTGCATCAGGCTCCACACTCAGCATGGACTCTACTTATTCCTCTCCCTTCCCCTACTTGTGTGCACTCTCTCTCTAAATAAAATAAAATAATCTTTTTAAAAATTAAAAAAAAGAAGAATTGAAAGCAGTGTCTTGAAGAGAGATTTTTAAAAAAATATGTTAATAGCAGCATTATTCCCAACAGCTAAAAAATGGGAGAAACCAAACAGATAAACAAACTGGTCAATGTAGTATTATCAGCCTTAAAAAAGAAGGAAATGCTGATAAATGCTGCAACATGGAGGAACCTTGAGGATACTGTGCTAAGTGAAATAGGCCAATCACAAGACAAGAATGTATATAATTCTACTTATTTGAGTTACTTAGAGTAGTCAAAATCACAGGAAGTAGAATGTTGCTTGCTAGGGACTGGAGAAGTGGGATAAGGAAAGCTGTTTAGTGGATTTATAAAATGTGAAAGTTCCGGATTATCTCTTGCACAACAATGTGAATATACTTAACACTAATGAACTGTACTTAGACATGCTTAATATGTCAAACTTTTACCTTATGTGATAGTTTTTACTACAATTTTTAAAAAAATTTTTAACTAAAAAAACAACCCTGAGGAGTAACTCATTCAATACACACCTTAAAAATAAATCCTATTTCAAATCTGAAAAAGGTTCTGCTTCGGGTAATAGCCAAGTCCCTTCTAAGGTAAGTTTTTTTTTGTTTTGTTTTGTTTTGTTTGTTTGTTTTTACAGAAAACTTACTATAAACTCTGGATATTTTCAAAAGAGTTCAAAGAATAAAAAAGATGTATTATATGCCACCCGCTGCAAAGAAGACAAAGTTTAGAGTTTGAGTCTAGCCAAGGTAACTGCCCATTTATACACAAAAACCAACAAAAACACTCTGGAGGAATATAATAGAATCTTGAGTCTTTATTACACATATAATTCACAAAATTTAAGACTCAACAGAAATTTATTAGACATACAAAGAAACAGGAAAACATGACCCATAATCAAGAAACGAAGTGCAGACCAGCCCCAAGATGACCCAACTGTTAAATTAGAAAAAGAGGATTTTAAAGCAGTTGCAAGAAATTATACTCTAGAGTGTACTGGAAAACAGGCTTATAATGAATGAAAAAAAAAAATCTCAGCAAAGAAACAGAAAATATAAAAAAAGAATGAAAAGCCTAGAACTGAAAAATACTAGCTCTAAAATAAAAAATTCACCAATGGGAATTTATAACAAATTAGAAGTAAAGAAGAAAAGTCCATGAACTTGACAATAGATCAAAACAAGACAAAACAAAACTGAAAAAAATAAACAGAGCCTCAATGACTTATAGGATAACACGTGTCACTTAATTACCAAGAAGTACAGGAGAGAAAGGAGCAAGTTTTACTCCAGAGGTAGCAAGACAAATGAACCATCAACAATTAGCATCAATCATTAGCAACTGTGAAGAACAGAGACTAGCAGCCTTTCCAACTGAGTTCCAACTTTAAACTGGAAATGTTATCTGTATGGCTTTCACTGACAGCTTTTTAGGAATTAAAACAGCCAGGTTATTAGTCAATGCTTTCGTGTTTAATACCTCTGGTTCCTTAGGTTAGCAGTGTCTACGAGCACTGTTGAAACAGCTCTTGTATACAAACGTAACTTCTGAGAAAAAGACTGAAGTGTCTTTGAGAAAACCTTTCCAGAAATATTCTGAAGACGCACTCATACCCAAAACCACCACAAAAGGGAGCTGTCAAAGTTACATAAAAATGGCTGCGCTCTGTCCTGCTCTGTAGCACAGGACCCAAACTTCAAATCTTCAACTGGCTCACCACAACCCCAAGTATATATAATGTAAACTTTAAAAATAAAAATTTAAAAACACTTGCTGTTTTCTTAAAACAAGACATTATTAATTCAAATTATACTGAGGCATAGAAAGAAAAGTGAGGTTACCTTGACAGCTTTCTGGGAATTGGGGAGTCCTTCCTCTATGTCTTCTAAAAGAATTCCTCCTAAGCCTCGCTGGTCATGCTTATCTAACAGCCTAAGTAGGGCTTTCTTATCTTTCAAGTTGTATTTGGGCTTGAAGGCATACTTCCCATCTATTACTTCAATTTTGGGATTATTGACTAATGCCTGTAACAGTGACACAATGTGATATATTAACAAAAGGAAACCCCATGTACCCATTCTTAAATTATACTAATTATTTTAAAAATATCGATACCCAATACAATTGTAAATTAAAAGTATCTTGTGAATATCAACTAGCAAATCTAAAATACTGGACATCCAGGATAAAAAAAAAAAATAGGTAGAGATCAGCATGTTGCTCACTTTTTAGAAAAGAAACTTTTTATTATTACATTAATTCCTTAGATGAGAAAAACCATTTTATCACAACTGATCTGAAGAAACTGTACCCATATTCTTTTGAAAATAAAAGATAAAAAAGAATAAATGCCAATTAACATTAATAGACAAAGTGAACTAGGTATCGCCTATCCCACCCTCAAAGTATAGTTTATCATATATTGGCATTATGTGTGAAACATAACCCTGGGATGATATACCAACAGTCTGCCCCACCTGGTATCAAATGGCACCTACAAGTGTGGAAGGAACTGAAAAGCACCAGACTACTGCATATAAGAAATTTACCTATAGTGGCAGCTTGAGAATGAAACTGAGTAGGAATGCAGGAATTACTGAATATAATTATATTCCTAGTCAGTTCTGCTGTACAGCTACTACCAGAAGGAAAGCTCTTCAAGGAAGAGCTACCCTATTTATTTTCTTCTGCAGCTGCCAGCCTGACCCTGGAAAGGAGAAAGAGAAGAAACATAGAAGAAAGGAGGGAGAACAGAATAGTAATAAAAATAATTTTTAATTAATGTTGGTAGTCTATGAAATTTGAAGATTAGGTAAAGCAACAGAATTTAAATGTGGATTATAACTATTTGTATATCACTAATACGATGAGCTATAATGTTACTAATTGTTGATTTTATATTACAAAAATCAAGAACAATATTTTGCTCAGTAAAATACATTATTGAATTACATTTTAGGAATTTTTCATTTGACTTTAGACTACAACACTGGTCCCAGAAAGTATTCTTAATTGTCATTTCATACTTAAATAGAAAAGATGGAAATGTGTGAATTTTAAAAAATGCTGTTCATTTCCAAATTAGCAGGGTCAGTGATTATTGTGGGGTTTCTTTTCCTACAATGATGTGCATACATACACAATGTAAGGATTCGTTTTCCAAGTAATCTGTCAGAGGCAGTAACATCACCATCAAGTCATAATAGTAGTATGAGCATAACAAATATCTCACTATCCCTACACTACCTCATGGTTTAAATGTTCTAAAACATATGTAAAAACAATACAATTCTAAATTTAGCAATTAAAAAAGTATCAGTTATTCTGTAAAAACTTAAATGGAACTGGTACAATGACTGATTTCTTTATAATTTTTATGCTAAAAGTCTTTAACATTTTAAATAGATACATAAGTTAAGAAAACCAACAAATCAAACCACCTCAAAAAACATATATGTTAAAAACAAAAGCAAAGACCCTATACCAGTTACTTTAAGAAAAAGTAAAAATAACAGATTTCAGTATATTAAAAACCTTAGTTATAGCAAATATTTCATGGTAACCAACTAATTTTTTTTAACTCCATTTTAAGGCTATTCTTACCTCAGTCATTAGCCATTGTTTCTGCTTGAGTCCTATATCTAAATGTTGTGTTTCATCCAAAATTTCTTCTAAAGTGAGAGGATGTGTATCTCCCCGCTGATGCCGTGTCTATTGAGGGAAGAAATTGTTACTAAGAGACAGTTTTAAAATGCTAGATGCATTAAATAATAGATACAAGTGAATCTTTCAGGAATGTAGAACATGTATTATTTGAGGCAATACAATTATAGTGATGAAGAGAATGGACTATAAAATCAGAACCAGGTTCAAACTCATAGCTCTATAAAATCAAATGATAAACTGAGAAAAAATATTTTCACCTCATATCACAAGGAGCTAATCTTCCTAATATTTTAACAGCCCCCAAAGCCTAACAGGAAAATGGCCCAAAAGCCTAACAGGAAAATGACACAAAGAAATCATAGAAAGGTGCCTGGGTGGCTCAGTCAGTTAAGCTTCCAACTCTTGACTGCAGTTCCGGTTGAGATCAAGCCCCACGTCAGCCTCTGCACTCAGCGGGAGTTGGTTTGAGATTCTCTCTCCCTCTCTGTCTGCCCCTCCCCCCTGCTCACGCACTCTTCTCTCTAAAATAAATAAATAAATCTTTAAAAAAAAAATCATAGAGGGGCGCCTCAGTGGTGCAGTCAGTTAAGTGTTCAACTCCTGGTTGCAGCTCAGGTCATTATCTCATGGGTTGTGGGATCAGCCCCATGTGGGGCTCTGTGCTCAGTAGGGAGTCTGCTTCAGGATTCTCTACCTCTGCCCCTCCCCCTGCTCGTGCATTCTTTCTCTAAAATAAATAAACCTTTTTTAAAAAATGAATAAAAATGGACCTCTCTTGAGTAATTATTATATATAAACTGAATTTTATCCAAATTTTAATATACATGAGTTATTCTAATGAACTGTGTGCTAATAATAATAAATAATAATTGTGATAGGGGCGCCTGGGTGGCTCAGTCGTTAAGCTTCTGCCTTCAGCTCAGGTCATGATCTCAGGGTCCTGGGATCGAGCCCCGTGTCGGGCTCCCTACTCCGCCGGAAGCCTGCTTCTCCCTCTCCCACTCCCCCTGCTTGTGTTCCCTCTCTCACCATGTCTCTCTCTGTCAAATAAATAAATAAAAATCTTTAAAAATAAAATAATAATTGTGATAGTACTTAGAACCTTATGGTCACGAGAAAAACATTTCTAACATATATATTATTGTGGCAAAAAAGTTTGATGATGATTAAAACATTTTCAAGCATAGGGGTGCCTGGGTGGCTCAGTTAAGTGGCTGCGTTCCGCTTAGGTCATGATCTCGGGGTCCTGATCTCCCTCTGCCCCTCCCACCCCCTTATGCTCTCTCTCTCAAATAAATAAAATCTTTAAAAACATATATATTTTCAAGCACAAAATTACATAACATTAAGCTAAAATGCAGTGGGACTACCAGAACAGACTTGTAAGTTCAAAAGGAAAATAAAATTGCCAACCATATGTTTGTTTTTATGATTTTTTTAAAGATTTATTTAGGGGCGCCTGGGTGGCTCAGTTGTTAAGCGTCTGCCTTCGGCTCAGGTCATGATCCCAGGGTCCTGGGATCGAGCCCCGCATCAGGCTCCCTGCTCAGTGGGGAGCCTGCTTCTCCCTCTCCCCCTGCTTGTGTTCCTGCTCTCGCTGTCTCTCTCTCTGTCGAATAAATAAATAAAATCTTTAAAAAATAAAAATAAAATATTTATTTGTTCTAGAGAGTGAATGCACACATGTGGGGGGAGGGGGAGGGGGAGAGGGAGAGACTTTTTTTTTTTTTTAAAGATTTTATTGATTTATTTGACAGAGAGAGAGACAGCAAGAGAGGGAACACAAGCAGGGGGAGTGGGAGAGGGAGAAGCAGGCTTCCCGCGGAGCAGGGAGCCCGATGTGGGACTCTATCCCAGGACCCTGGGATCATGACCTAAGCCGAAGGCAGACGCTTAACGACTGAGCCACCCAGGCGCCCCGAGACTTTTTTTTTTTTTTAAGATTATTTATTTATTTGAGAGAGAGCACAAGCGGGGGAGCGGCAGAGGGAGAGGGAGAGGCAGACTCCCCGCTGAGCAGGGAGCCTGACATGGGGCTCGATCCCAGGACCCTGGGATCATAACCTGAGCCAAACGCATTTGAACCAAATGAGCCACCCAGGTAACCCAGGGAGAGAGTCTTGAGCAGACTCCGAGCTGAACACAAAGCCCAATGTGGGCCTCAATCTCACGCCCCTGAGATCACGACCTGAGCCAAAACCAAGAGTTGGTTGTCCAACCAACTGCGCCACCCAGGAGCAGTTTTTATATTTTTAATTAATAATGGGATTTAGATCCCCTTAGATAAATGTAAAAGAGGTATTTTGTTGAAATGTTACGATATGTCAGAAATTCCATCCTATTTAAACTTTTGCTGAAAAACTAATTGTCAATTTAAGTATGTGCAAAGAGATACACAATTTCTCAAAATTGTTTCAGGAAATAACTGAGCACAAAACTTGAAGATCACAGTCCTAAAGAAAGTTGTAAAAGTAAAGATCATCTAGATTAGTGAAAACTGTACCAGCAGAGTAGCAAAAACATGACATTTGAATGTCAGTCTCTCTCAACAGACTAACAGCCATGAGGGCATACTTTTTTTCTGAGTAGTCCCACCAATAGTGCTATAAATAGCATACAGTAGGTTTTAATAATCGTTTACCACATGGGGGAATGAGTGGATGGAATGAATGAATAGGAAACATGTGTCAAAGTGTATTATTTGATAATGGGAAATTACAAACTAACAGATTTCTACTACAAATCAAATACAAACTACAGATTTCAGACACAGCCAGACATTAAGTCTCTTAAATTACAAAAGCCCTAACATAAAAACTTGATTTACATTTTAAGCAATCCATAGCTGAAATTTGAAATAACAAATACAGCACTCTTTTTTCAAGAGATACAACTAGTAACTAAACAGGAATGAGTTTGGCAGAGGAAGGGGGCAAATCTGAAATCATTTAGCCATTTAGCAATAAATGAAATTTCACTTTAATAAGATTCAGAGTCTTTGGTAAAGCCAAAATGCCATAATCAAAACTTCAAAACTTACTTCAAAAAACAGTAAATCTTCCATCAAATCTTAAATTCTAAGTCTTTTGTGAGTCAATATTTTCCTAAGACCCTCAGTAATTCTCTAGTTTTTCCTCCAAAGATGCAGAAAAACCATCACCACCATATGTCTCAACTATGTAGTTTTTACTTTTCACATCAGTGGAAGTAACAACCTGCAAATCATTCACTTCCTTCTACTGGTTTTGCCAGCAAGTCCTGAGTAATTAAGAAGTGAATATACCTATTGCCTGGGCATAATTTTAAGTGAAATGGTGGGCTGAAATTGTATACTCGAATAAATGTAAATTAAATATACTTAGGTGACTCACTGCAGTGCTAATTCGATATAACGTAAAAGGCTTGAAGCATTATTTTTAGTTTTATTGAGATGTAATAGGGATACAACAGATTGCACATAATGAAACATACAATTTGATAAATTTTGACATATATATACAAATTTACTTCTGAAACCCCAATCCTCTTCCTCTGCCAAAAACTTACATAGAATGTGTGTTATTTGAGAAAAGTACTTACCTTCATGTAATTCACAATCTTGGCAAGAACACCAAACTTGTATCCAGAGCTTCCTGATAGAGCTTTCAAGTTAAATGATCCATTGCTATGATCTGAAAATGAGGTTCAAAAAACAACTATAACATTGTCATATAGATTTGATTACGACTTTTAAGCAACTAAGATGAATTTTAACTCTAGTAAAATATTTGATTTGCATTTTTCCATCTAGTGAATTCTACCATGTAAAACTTTGGTGAAAATTCAAATCTTTGAGTATATAATAAACTTATCAACTTTCCCACCAAGGATAGGAACAAAGTATTAATAAATTCAAAAGCATTAAAATACATTTCTTCTGGGGCGCCTGGGTGGCTCCGTCGTTAAGCGTCTGCCTTCGGCTCAGGTCATGATCCCAGAGTCCTGGGATCGAGCCCCACATCGGGCTCCCTGCGCCACGGGAAGTCTGCTTCTCTCTCTCCCACTCCCCCTGCTTGTGTTCCCTCTCTCGCTGTGTCTCTGTCAAACAAATAAATAAAATCTTTAAAAAAAAAATAAAATAAAATAAAATACATTTTTTCTGGGGGCACCTGGGTGTCTCAGTTGGTGAAGCATCCAACTCGATCTCAGGGTTGTGAGTAGGTTGGAGCGCACTTTTTAAAAAAAAAAAAAAAAGTGAAATACATTTCTTCTGTAAGTACCTTTGTCTCACTGTTCCTTCAATTATGATTAGATTTATCCCCAAGATTAGAAGCATGGCTTTTTAAACAAGAGGACAATACAAATCTCAAACTGATCCATAGAGCTTTTCTAACAGACTCAAAACCATGAGAAATGAGTCAATTACTTCAAAGGGATAAAAAGTTCCATTTATCACCTATTACATCAATTTCTGGCCTCTCAACTTAAAACAAATGGAAACTAATGGGAATTAAAAGAAATGATACCATAACTAAACTTTAGAGATTAATTAGGGAAAAAATTATTTAAAAAAAGGAAAAAATTCATAGCCACTGAAACTGCATAAACATGGATGCTTAAAAAAGGATGATAGTATGAAACAAGGAGCAAACTGTATAGAAGACAATTTGTTTCAGAACTTGTATCATTTTGTTGCATTTTATAGGCAGAAATCCTAATGCTACCAGGAATCACAAGTGCATTCCATTAGTCATAAGTATACATTCTATTAACAAACCATCAACTCAGCTATATTAAGTTCCCTTGTGGCTGCTGATCCACAAAGGAAGAGGTTAAATAAAAAGGGAGGGGGGCGTATCTCTGGCACCAGCTTGGTAATAATAATTTTAAAAAAAGAATGCATTAGGGTGCCTGGGTGGTTCAGTTGGTTGAGCGACTGCCTTCGGCTCAGGTCATGATCCTGGAGTCCCTGGATCGAGTCCCGCATCGGGCTCCCTGCTCGGCAGGGAGTCTGCTTCTCCCTCTGACCCTCCTCCCTCTCATGCTCTCTCTCATTCTCTCTGTCTCAAATAAATAAATAAATAAAATCTTAAAAAAAAAAAAAAGAATGCATGAGAACAAGTCAAATATAACAATTGTCAGAGAGCCAAAAGAATAGCTTTTAGATGGCAACATAATACTTCGAGATCAATTTATGAAAAGACTTTACTAAATATGCTTTTTTGAGACTAAAATGAGATTTGATATGTAATTTTCCTTTAAAAATCACTGCTTTAATTTTGACAACAACTTAATTGGCACATTATAGCCTACTATGTTTCCAAAAGTAATATTATGGATGCCTTACAGGTATGCTTTCACATTCATTATTTCAATTATGAAATACTACCTACATGGTTCATTTTCCCAAGGTGTTCAGGACACTTTAACAATAAAAGTAACATTTACTGAATACTTATTATTTACCACGTACCATGCTAAATATTTGATTTTCTCATTTAATCCCTCCAAAAAATCCTATTTAGGAGGTATCATTGTCCCCTTTTATTTTTTTTTTTTAAAGGAGATTTTTTTTATTTGCCAGAGAGAGAGAGAGCCCAAGTGGGGGAGAGGAACAGAGGGAGAGGGAGAAGCAGACTCCCCACTGAGCAGGGAGCCCCATGTGGGACTCGATCCCAGGATCCTGGGACCATGACCCGAGCCCAAGGCAGATGCTTAACCAACTGAGCCACCCAGGCGCCCCTCATTGTCCCCTTTTAAACATAAGAAAAGTAAGAGCACTATGCAGAAGAATACAGATTCAAATTCATTTGTAAACACTGTGATACTGCCTTGTATAAGAATCATTAACTAGTCTTTAATACAGACTCTTCCATCTGAAACTGGCTATTATTTTGTCAGAGTATAAAAATTCATAAATGCAGATATGTTTTCTTGTTTAACTTTAGTAAAATATTAAGTTTATCCTACATTAACTGGGGACACTATGAAAAGCAGACGACACTATGTTAAGGATAGACACTACACAAATGCTCAATCATGAACTACATGCAGTTTTGTGTATCATGGAGTCTTGAACATTTAGCTCAATGCCAGGCAAAGTAAATAGTAAATATTAGCTGAATGAATGAAGATAGTAAGAGTATTTCTATGTACCTCTTTACAGTCCTAGAAACTAATATGCTAATTTATCTGTAATTTTAAAAAATAATGTGGTGGCACCTGGATGGCTCAATCAGGTGAGTGTCTGACTCTTAATTTTGGCTCAAGTCATGATCTTGGGGTCGTGGGATCGAGCCCCGCACTGGGCTCTGCGCTCAGTGTGGAGTCGGTTTCAGATTCTTCCCCCCCCACCCCCCCGCACTATCTCCCTTTAATAAATAAAATCTTAGGGGCGCCTGGGTGGCTCAGATGGTTAAGCGTCTGCCTTCGGCTCAGGTCATGATCTCAGGGTCCTGGGATCGAGTCCCGCATCGGGTTCCCTGCTCAGTGCAGAGCCTGCTTCTCCCTCTCCCTCTGCCACTCCCTCTGCTTGTGCTCTTCTGTCTATCTCTCTGTCAAATAAATAAATAAAATCTTTAAAATAAATAAATAAATAAAGTAAAATCTTAAAAAAAAAATAATGTAAACTATAAAATAAAGTCTGCACAGCAAGTATTTACTCAGTCTGCTGTTGCTGTAATAGCCACTCCATAATTTAAAACCTTGATTCTGTTATGCTTGGACCACACACAACTCTAAATAATACACCATAAATAAAAATACTCTATCTTCAAATATTCAGTTGAGGATTCTTTTGCCATTTTTTAACAATTTTTTTGAGGGGTGCCTGAGTGGCACAGTCAGTTGAGTGCTGATTCTTGGTTTCAGCTCAGGTCATGATCTCAGGATCAGGGATCGAGCTCTGCCTCAGGCTCCATGTGGAGTCTACCTGACATCATCTCTCCCTCTCCCTCTGTCCCTCCCACTTGTGCTCTCTCTAAAATAAAGAAATAAATTTTGGAAGAAATTTAAAAAAATTTTTAGTACAGTTGACAATGTTACATTGTTTCAGGTGTACAACATAGTCACTCAACTTCTCGATCGATTATGCTGTGCTCACCACAAGTACAGCTGCTCTCACCATGCAACACTACCAGAATATCATTAACTATATTCCCTATGCTGTGCCTTTTATTCCTTTTTTACCATTTAAATTTCAAAGACTGCTTTTTAATGTCGGTGGTGTAACTACCAAAACTAACCCTCTCCCAACTAGCAGAGCAGAAAATCGTTCTTTGCCCTTAGAATTTCTCCTAAATCAAACCACCACATGGAAATAATCACTTCCAGAGGACAAGATTTATATATAACACAAGTATGGAAAGAAAATATCATTTATGAGATTTTATGCCCACTTCCTGGAGGAAATACCAAGCTGGTAAACCTGGACTGTTTGTTTCCTAGGTTACTACCTCTCTCGACATTACCTTTCAGCCCTAGCAGTGAAATACTCACTGAAGGATCCGAAATTTTATGGTTAAACACTAAGGAATCATCACTTTGTTACTAACTCAAATTCCTTTGCAGAAATTTAGCTTAAGGACAAAAAAAATAAGACAAGAAAAAGGTGACAGTTGATATCCCAAACAGCTCTATTCAAGTTTATGAATGATTTACACTTAAGGGTGGCAGGACTTAATGCAAATGAACGAAGAGGAAACTGTCAGCTGCATTGTGGTTTAACCAATAGAAGCACAGCTCCATCTTGGATGTGCACTGGACTGCATTACAAACAGACGATACCATCGCTTCAACAGCAGCCTTCAGACAAGAGGTAGGTTTATACGATCTCTTTCATTTAGTAATACATATCCTTATGATGTAATATAAAAATATTTTACCATAAAAACCAAGCAGAAAGCTTTGTTCCTACAAAAGACCAAAAAAAGCAATGTATTCATTTCACTGCTTGGTAGGATTTTATTATGAAAATGTGAAGACTGCCTTGTGCTATTTGATAAGCACCCTTACCATCTGTGCCTTATGGAAAATTCATGAGATTTTCTATGAACCTGATCTATATCCAGACCTTAGAGTAACCCATAAGCATTTAATGTTAAGTGGTTACTTGCTAATTTATTTTTTCCGAGCTATTTCATTTCAGCAGTTTGGTCTGCCTTAACAAAGGATTTTTCTTAAAGAAAAATCTAGACTAAAAGCGAATCCTGGACTAAAGCTTTCTAATTATATGTGCAAATTATATTGGCTTGTAAAAAGCAGCTACTTATGGGAAAGTTTGTTATATTTTAACAAATATGAGAAAATAGTTCAAAACTGTTTATTTGACTTTGAGTGTAGATGCAGAGAATGTCAAGAGATTGTAACGAATGTGATTTTTACATAAAAATTAGAAGACCACAAAGATATCATTAAATAGGCTGCATTATATTATAGCCAAAGAGATCATTTGTAGAGCTTCAAACTTTCCTAAGATTTTAATTAAAATAATTCCTTATGGTTAAATTTTAAAATCTATATTACTGTAATACACAAGTCATTCTATTATTAAATGATAACCTTCTTAAATACCCTTTCATTTTTTATATGCCACAAAAATATTCATAACCATATTTCAATATAATGTTGAAATTATTCTTCAACTGATGCCTCAAAATAAACAGAGAGCAAGTCTTTGTGATAAACTACAGTTTAAAATAAAAATATGTTTTAAGAAGAACTGGTTAAGGGAGGAAGGTATGGTACCTTTCAACGTAGGTAATAAGATTTCTTTCATGGCTCAGAGTAACTATTCATGTCTACTAAAAATTAGTATCAACTACTGACCAAATTTCTAATTTTATCATGGTGGAGCATGTAAATATCATTATTTAGTAGATGCCAGAGTTCCAGGATATTATCCACACATACTGACCTAAAGATCCAACTTCTGCCCTTTTCTTTGCTGATAAATCTATTTAAATTTTAAAAGACTATTTTCATAATTTTTATTCCTTCTATTTCTTATTCAGCATTCAGCCAGCATGAGTAAAGCATCTCTTACAAAGCCTAAAGGTTGCTGTAAGAAGATATTAGATCTCTCGAGGTTCAGAACAATGGGGTTAATTACCTAGAAAATATTCCTGCTTGCTGTACAAAGTATGGGAGCCAAAAAAAAGTCTCAGATAAATAAAAACAACCTTGTCTGATTAAACAGTTAACTTGTAACTGAAATTTCAGGTAAACTGTAAACAGAAAAAGCTCTACTACCCCCATTATTAGCACTATAATCAGCCTACATTTTACTGGTGATATATTTATGGTTAACACAGATGTAGGTTTACTGCTCTTTCACCAAACTGACTAGACGCATGGCTTATCTCAGAGAGTTCCAGGGCTGGGTGAGCTGCTCTATGTTTAAAGGCCAATATGATTAATTGATCATATTTCAAAGTTGTATGTTTAAAGACACTAGAGAATTCAACTCAAGGGCTTTTACCATTAGAGCAAAAGCATAATCTTATTCTGATCTGACAATTCAAGGTTCCAGAACAGTTTGAAGTCCTATCCCCATAAATATTTCACTAGGGCCTTCTGAAATGGGAGGAAAAATAGGTGAAGAGAATATACCAAAAATAAACTTTAAAAAAAATATGGTATTTACTTTAACACTCCCCATTTCTGTAATGAAATTTTAAAGAGGTGGGGATCCAAAAAAAGGTACACAAACGATTTTTACCATTTAGTCTTATTTTTCATAAAGCATTTATATATCGCAGGTATTTGATGTAAATTTATATTTTAATTTCAAAAATAGTCTTATAATATGAGAAAATCCTAATAATACCATCTTTTTGCATGTCTAATTATATCTACTCCATTAAAGTAAGTTTCAGATTTTACCCTAAATTTAGCACAAAAAATTGCTAGAGCTCTGCTGTACGTAAAAAGAATAAACCACACTAAATTTAAGGTACAAAATGACTCCATATTTTACTTTTTTCAGATATACCCAGCAGCTAACTAAAGATTGAATGTTTTGAGTTGCTCATCAGTTATCAATACATAAGAGGCAAACTGTCATCATTTACAACATAAACTGTCATCATTTACAACATGTGTGTACTCTTCCTTAAACTGCTTAGACACTTCTAATCAAAATGACAGTGTTTACTGACTCTAGTTTTAATTTTTTAGAAGTAATCCAGAAAACTCAATAAATGTGTCAAATAGATATAAAACACATATAGATATATAACACAATGTAACACAATAGATATAAAACCAAAGGCAAGAAATACTTTTAAAATATATTAGTTTGGGGGGCGCCTGGGTGGCTCAGTCATTGGGCGTCTGCCTTTGGCTCAGGTCATGATCTCAGGGTCCTGGGATCGAGCCCCGCATCGGGCTACCTGCCCGGCGGGAGGCCTGCTTCTCCCTCTCCCACTCCCCCTGGTTCCTACTCCCACTATCTCTCTGTCAAATAAATAAATAAAATCTTTAAAAAAAATAAATAAAATATATTAGTTTGGGTTTTAGATAAGTACTATATTCAAATGCTTCAAAAACTAAAATGTAACAATATAAACCTTGAGAAATCTCACAGATCCCTATATCCCAGCTCTACTCTCCAACCAATCACACAAGTAATCATTTGTTATTAACTTCTTATATAACTCCTTCCAAAACTTTTGTGCAGATACAAGCAAATAAAAATGCGTATTATTTCCCCCTTCCTACACATACTGTCCTGCATCTTGGTCTTTTCACTTAACAGATCCTAAAAATCCTTCAGTATCATCACAGTTACCTCATTCACACACAATAATCAATTGTATGGATATATTAATTTTAATCAGAAGAATAGGTCATTGATGGGTACAAGTTAACTTCAAATAACTGAATTTAGTTTGTGTCTGCCTGCCTGCCCCACCTTCTCCCTTCCCTTCCCTCCCTCTATCTTGGGGGGGTGCACAAGAGGGCTTGAAAAAAATTTTTTCTTTTATTTTTAAAGATTTTATTTATTTGACAGAGAGACAGTGAGAGAGGGAACACAAGCAGGGGGAAGGGGAGAGGGAGAAGCAGGCCCCCCTGCCAAGCCACCCAGGCACTCCTTGAAAAAATTTTAAACAGTTCACTTGTACCTCAAATATAAATAGAATATTGGGACACCTAGGTGGCTCAGTGGGTTGACCATCAACTCCTGGTTTCAGCTCAGATGGTGATCTCTGGGTCATGGGATCGAGCCCCAAGTTGGCTCCGTGGTCGGTGGGGAGTCTGCTTGGGATTCTTTCTCCCTCTCCACCTCCCATATCTGACACTTGCACGCACGTGCTCTCTCACAAATAAATCTTCTTTAAGAAATAGAATATAAAGTTAAAATTTTAAGCAGTTCACTTGTACCTCAAAAATAAATAGAATATAAGTTCCTTAAACCAACTTTCCAGTAATTATAAAATTTCATTTTGAAATAGAAATTTAGGGCGCCTGGGTGGCTCAGTAATTAAGCGTCTGCCTTCGGCTCAGGTCATGATCCCAGGGTCCTGGGGATCGAGCCCCGCATAGGGCTCCCTGCTTGGTGGGAAGCTTGCTTCTCCCTCTCCCACTCCCCCTGCTTGTGTTCCCTCTCTCGTGTTCTGTCAATTAAAAAAAATCTTTTAAAAATAATAAAAATAAAAATTATTATAATATAAAAAATTACTATAAAATTTCTGAAATCAATAATGAAATGACATCTTAACATTAAGTTAATTAATAAGGTACATTAAACTAATTTTTTTAAGATTTATTTATCTGAGAGAGAGAGGGAATCCCAAGCAGACTTCCCACTGAGCGCAGAGCTCCACCCAGGGCTCAATCTCACAACCGGGAATCATGACCTGAGCCAAACCCAAGAGTCGGATGCTCAACCCACTGAGCCACCCAGACACCGCTACATTAAACTAATTTAAGGGACATAATGTGTAAAGAAATTCCCAGATTTTAAAAAGGAATCAACCTGGGGCACCTGGCTGGCTCAGTCAAAAGAGCATGTGATTCTTGATCTCAGGCTTGTGAATTCAAGCCCCATATTGGGTGTAGAGATTACTTAATAAAACAAAACAAAGGAATCAACCTGAAAGGCCTTAACAGAAAGTCTAAGGAATATTTGCATCAGTGCTGGAGAGGTCCTAGGTTAGCCCAGGTAAAATTATTAGATAGACCCTCCAGTGATTCTTCCCCTGTTCTTTACCCATACAATAAATGGTACTGTTCTCTCTTTCCTCAAGAACTATTCTTCCTCTCCTCTTCTATATGCTCTGTTTTTCAAAAGGACCTGAAACTCATTCACACAGAAGTAAAAATAACTAACAATGTGTGCTACGCCTCCCAAGTAATATCACATTGTAGTCATACTAAATATTTTAAAGGGGGCGCCTGGGTGGCTCAGTTGGTTAAGCGACTGCCTTCGGCTCAGGTCATGATCCTGGAGTCCCGGGATCGAGTCCCGCATCGGGCTCCCTGCTCGGCAGGGAGTCTGCGTCTCCCTCTGACCCTCCCCCCTCTCATGTGCTCTCTCTCATTCTCTTTCTCTCAAATAAATAAATAAAATCTTTTAAATAAATAAGTAAATAAATAAATATTTTAAAGGAGTTCCAAAGCTAAACATTTTTTAGGCATTTGTATGTGTGTACACACCTGTCACTACTCTAGGCTAGGTCAAAAAGGACTAACGTTCTCTCCATTTGAGTCAGTTTCTATGGGCTACTTGACTATATGTGTGCACGGTGATTAGAATCAGAAGCAGCGACACTGCAGAAGTTGGAGGAGTGGTCTATCGGGATATTCACATTGGATTCCAAGGTGCACCACTTATAGCATATTCTCTGTGATGGCACCCTACAATATAACATGAATGGTGTTCCCTGGAGGTGTGCAATGTAGCAGCTCCATTTTCTTTTTTTCTTTTTTTTAAAGACTTTATTTATTTGACACAGAGAGAGAGATAGCGAGAGCAGGAACACAAGCAGGGGGAGTGGGAGAGGGAGAAGCAGGCTTCCCGCTGAGCAGGGAGCCCGATGTGGGACTCGATCCCAGGACCCTGAAGGCAGACGCTTAACGACTGAGCCACCCAGGCGCCCGCAGCTCCATTTTCTATAAAAATGTGCTAAGAAGGAAAAACTTAAGGGATAAAAGAGGGTAACTCTAAAAGGCTGGGTCCCCAGACAGTTTGAAAATACTGTAATACACTGGGAAGTTCCTCACATACCAGTTCCAGACAATATATTTTTGTTAAGTACCAGAACTAATAAAGGCAATTGATTCAATTACTGTCCATTAGTCTGTTGTCCCTCGTTTCAAGATGAAGGATCACCACAAACCATGAAACTGAAGGATTCTTAAATCCAAAAAGAACAAATGAATTTAAGCCTTTACTTCTGGCCTCAGATCATCAATTTAACCTTCAAAACACACAAAAGAAGAAACCAAGTCCATCCAGAGAGGTAAAGTTACTTGCCAAGCAAATATGATTTAAGATAGAAAACAAAAACCTTTGGAGTGCCTGGGTGGCTAAGTCAGTACAGCATGTGACCCCTGATCTCAGGATTGTGAGTTTAAGCCCCATGTTGGGCATAGAGTTTACTTAAAAATAAAAACATAGAAAACAAAAACCTTAGAAAATATTAACTTATCAATGTCAAAGTTTTAAAATTAGATTTCTAAAGAAAACAAAGAAATTGAAGGAATTATACTGTTATGGCTCTGGGTTTTTTGAGTCACTTTTTCATCCTTTTTGGTGTGAAAATGATAATGTGGTTATGTTTAAAAACAGAATCCTCACCTTTTAAGAGATATATGCTGAATATGTCTAGATGAAGTGATGATGTCTACAATTTGCTTCAAAATAATCTACGGGTGGAAGCAAATGGGTACAGACGAATTGATAATTGAAGCTATATTGAGCATACAGGGGTTCATCATACTCTTCTTTTTTAAAGATTTATTTATTTACGGGGCGCCTGAGTGGCTCAGTCAGTTAGGCATCTACCTTTGGCTCGGGTCATGGTCCCAGGGTCCTGGGATCGAGCCCCACATTGGGCTCCCTGCTCAAGGGGAGCCTGCTTGTCTCTCTCCCCCTGCCTCTCCTCCAGTTTGTGCTCTCTCTCAAATAAATAAATAAAATCTTAAAAAAAAAAAAAAAAAGATTTACTTCTTTATTTATTTGTAATGGTTTGATTTGGCTTCCATTCAGGCCTTCTCATCTCAATGTTTTTTGGGGTTTTAATTTTTAATTTAAATTGAATTTAATTAACATACACTGTAAAGATTTATTTATTTACTTTGGAAGTGGGGGGGGGGAGAGTGCACGAGCTAGAGGAGCAGAAGGAGAGGGAGAGAGAATCCTAAGCAGACTCTGCGTGCTGAGCACTGAGCCCAATGCGGGGCTTGATCTCACAACCCTGAGATCACAGCCTGAGCCAAAACCAAGAGTCAGACGCTTAACCAACTATGCCACCCAGATGCCCCACTTTTTTTTTTTTTTGTAAAGATTTATTCTAGAGAGAGCAAGAGTATGTGTGTGCGAGCAGGCAGAGGATCAGAGGGAGAGAGAGAGGGAAAGAACCTCAAGCACACTCCCCTCCCAGTGCGGGTCTCCACATGGGGCTCAGTCTCCCCACTTGAAACCAAGAGTCGGATGCCCAACTGACTGAGCCACCCAGGTGCCCCTCATTATACTCATACTCTTCAACTACCTTGAAATTTCCTTTAATTAAAACATACACACACAAGTATCTCCAGCATTTAGAAAACTATTTGGTACACAGTAGGTAATCAATAAACATTTGTTTACAAGAATGAATGAAAATCTACTTAAACTATGTAGTAAAGAAAAATCCTGCAAACTAAGTCATTTCTTGAATAAAATAAAGCAAACTGACAACAGTCATTGAATTAATGAAATGGAATTTTTTCTTATTTCCAAAATTTTCTTAGTATAAAAGCATTCTATAATTTCTTAAAATAAGTTTAAAGGATACTTCTGAAACATCAAGGTAATAAATTCTTCAATCCTTATGGTCCCATTTAAGGTCTAACAAGTATCAGGTCAACAAGAGCAAAACTTAATGCAAGAATACTAAAACTTTAATTCACTGGTTAATTTTGTGAGATGGAATAATAATTTAATAATCAATACACCTGGGATGCTGATTGTTTAAAATATTCATGTCCAGGGGCGCCTGGGTGGCTCAGTCGTTAAGTGTCTGCCTTTGGCTCAGGTCATGATCCCAGTGTTCTGGGATCAAGCCCCGCATCAGGCTCCCTGCTCCACAGAAAGTCTGCTTCTCCCTCTCCCACTCCCACTCCCCCTGCTTGTGTTCCCTCTCTCGCTGTGTCTCTCTCTGTCAAATAAATAAAATCTTTAAATAAATAAATAAATAAATAAAATATTCATGTCCATAGATCATTCAGCTACATGAAACAGTTAATACTATCATATACATAACAGAAAGAAATCCTAAGATTAAGGTATCTTCATAGGCAACTTGAACCTAAAATTTTATTATCCTTATTCTGAAAATTGTTGTTATTTAGCTTTTCTTTAACATTTTTCACTCAGCCACTATTTCCTGATTCAGGTCACCTGTCCTCGAAGTTTAAAGGACTGGAAATAGAAATACACTGAGCCAACAAGGTGAGAAGGATCCACAAAGGTAATGAGAAAAGCTTTCCGGGAGGCAGTCTGAAGACCACCATCTTAAAACACTAAAATTTTTTGTAGTTAACAGATCACTGACCACTGCTTTAGTCAAATTTTAAACCAATTCAGCTTCTCTTTTTCCACTTCTACTAGCAGTTAACTTCTGTATAGAAATCTTAAACATATATACTTGTCTAGCAAATGATACACATAAAAAATATATAGTACAGTTTATAGAATACACGGCCATAAAATACAGAAAAAATTCAAAAATATAATTTGGGCATTAATTCTGGCAGAAAATAAGATGACTCATGTTACCTATAAAAATTTACTAATATTAGTACTAAAACTTGAATTGACAAATCTTTAGAATTTGATTACATATATTCACTTTTTACCTTTTTACAGATTCAAAAGAACAATACAAGAAGTAGAATCCCTAAGAATGGCCTCCCTGAGCTCCAGCCTCTGGAATGAAACCACTACATCTGTTTATCAGTACCTTGGTTTTCAAGTTCAAAAAATTTACCCTTTTCATGATAACTGGAACACTGCCTGCTTTGTCATTCTGCTTTTATTTATATTTACAGTGGCATCTTTAGTGGTGTTGGCTTTCCTGTATGAAGTGCTTGACTGTTGCTGCTGTGTAAAAAACAAAACTGTGAAAGACGTGAAAAGTGAACCTAACCCTCTTAGAAGCATGATGGACAACATCAGAAAACGGGAAATTGAAGTGGTCTAGCACTCTACCTAAAATGAACAAAATCTCTGAAAACAGCCTTCAACTACTGAGAAAAAAGGAGAATTTTCTGAGGCCAACTGTTATTATGAAAATTGACTCTGAATGATTAAAAGATTTCTAAAAGAAGGGAAAAACAAGTCAAATATGCACTTTTTGTGTGTGTATCCCTTTCATTAAATGTACAGTAAAACTTCACAAATGGGAATAAGTTACCAATCTACTTAAAATCAGAATTCAAAAACTGGATAAAAGATTCCTAGATTTCAATATTAAGCAGCAAAAGGTAAGCCAGAAAACATAAGCAAGATCAAATAACTCTGACCTAAACGAACGATGTGGACTAACAAATAAACTACCCTCCGTGTGTTTTGGTAATAAAAATGCTATTTAAAATGCTTACCTAAATCCAAAGTAAATAATTCCACTCATACATAAAATCCCTACTTATTAAAAAGAAGTATATTCTAGGTTATTGAGGACAACTTAAACATTTTTTCAAGACAAGTTTTATGTAGGGATTAATGTGGAAAAAAGTCTCAAAATAGAAAGATCACAAGTATACTTGCATAAAATTTTCATAAAACTGACTGTTTAATAAGAAACACATGGTGTAAGAAGGACCAGGCTATTTTCAAACTAAAACTTACTAGTATACCCCCTTAATTGTATTTCCTGAGCTTTTTCTTTCATTTTGCTGCTCATATTCATATTCTCAAGGGCTAAGACACACAATGCCGAAAAGACTACCTAAAAAAAAAAAAAGGCGAAAGACAGGAACACATAACACCTGTTAAGAAATACTGCAGTTTTATTTCTTGGAATTACAAGGGTTGTACAGATATTATATTTTATAACCCTAATGCTATTTTGCTACCACCCATGAGCAAACCTAAGCATGCTCTTAACCACCACAGCTGCCCTTAACCAGAAATATCATTCCTGGAAATTTACCCTGAGAAATCAGTTCAAAAGAAAAAAACTCAAGATACAAAGAGATTTCTAAAAACATTACTCAAAATAACAACGAAAAATGGAAATAACAGCCTTTAAATATATCAACTTTGCTTATTAAGAAGCTACTTTTTTTAAGTCTTATTTTGTTATGTTAATCACCATACATTTACATCATTAGTTTTTGATGTAGTGTTCCATGATTCACTGTTTGCGTATAACACCCAGTGCTCCCCTTAATACGTGCCCTCTTTAATACCCATCACCAGGCTAACCCATCCCTTCACCCCCTTCCCGTCTAGAACCCTCAGTTTGTTCCTCAGAGTCCATAGTCTCTCATGGCTCTCTGCCTCTTTTTTATTCACTGTAGGTGAGAGAATGTCAGTCACAGTTCAGAAAAAGTCCAAGTACAAAGTCTTCTCACTGTCTGGTTTAATACGAGGAGAAATTGAGTCCATGCTTCAACCGGTCCTCTGCCATTACTCACAGCTGTGTTATTAATAAATCATGGATTGTAGAAAGTTTAATATGGTATTATCTGAAGAACAGATAGATGTATTTTGAATAAAGATGTATTTTGTTGCCTCTTAAAAAAAAGCTACTGAAAATTAAGGCACAATAGAAAATATTTAATATATGAAATGAAAAATACACATCTAGGGGCACATGGGTGGCTCAGTCGGTTGGGCATCCAACTCCTCAGTTTCTGCCCAGGTCATGATCTCATGGGTTGTGGGATGGACCCCACAGGGTCTCAGTGGGGAGTCTGCTTGAAAGATTCTCTCCCTCTGCCCCTCCCCCAGCTCTCCCTCTCTCTTTCTCTCTCTCTCAGATAAATAAATCTTAAAAAGAAAAATACATATCTGTCATTTTCAATTTAGAGAACTCTGTCAGTTTGGAATCACTGTTTTTTCTTTCTAACATTAGAAAATGTTTTTTCTTTCTAACATTAGAAATAAACACTTTTTGTAACCAACTTTCAAAGGACTTGTGAAACCTGGTATACAAAATACTTTGGTAACCAGGAGATATTCTGAGCACTGTTAAAACCACATTTTCATAAACGGTAAGCTCTGGAGTCCTTGCCATAAATGGGAAGCATACATATCATTTAATTACTAAATTTTTTGATAACGGACACGACTAACTTTTCCCTACCTTATGCTGTAATTTATTTAACCATTCAACAAACATGTATTGAGTGCCTCTATGCGTGAGAGATTAGGTTACAATGGCAAACAAGTAATCATGCAATTACAATGACACACAATAGCTTTGTCAGAAATAATGAGTGCTATGGGAATCAAAGGCTAAGCACTGAATTCAAATAGGAAAGTAGAAATAATATGACTTTTAAGCTGCAACCTAAACGAGGAATAGGAGTTAGCCAAAGGAAAGAGGGAAGGAGCTAAGAAAGAACATTCCAGGAAGAGGACACAATGTGGGCAAAGGTCAAGAGGCAAAAGGGAGTAAAGCATGTTAAAGGAGCTACAGGACAGTATCACTAGGACAAAGTATAAGAAAAACAATGAGATATGGGTATAAAAGGTAATGGAGACTAGATCAGGTAGGGCATGCAGACAGCAGGAAAAGATGGGCTTTATCTGAAAAGCAACGATGATCAGCCTAAAAACAGTGACACATTAGAAAAATCACTGACTGCTATACAGAGAGAGTAGACATAAAGAAGTTAAGCTAGGAAACCTTTTAAGCACCTAATCAGACAATCCACTGATAGTGACCCAATCTAGGGGGTTATGGTAGTCTTCAGTGTTTACACCCAGCTTGGAACCCCTTGTGTCTGGGTACAGCCCTGTGACTAGCTCTAGACAATGAGTTGTGAGAGAAAGTGATTTCTCACCGCCACGCAAGAGGATTTTAACTGCCAGGCAAGATATTCGAGAGTTCTTTCTCCCTCTGGCACTGAGACCAACAACATCTGAAATATCAGCTACTCTATCAGCCTGGGTCCTTTGAGTGACTCTAAGGAGCTAAGACCCTTGCCAACACATGATAAACATGTGGTATGAAAGAAAAACAACGAATCTTTGTTGTTTTTAAGCCACTGAGATTTTGTACTGTTTAAAAAAAAAGAGGGGCGCCTGGATGGCTTAGTCGTTAAGCATCTGCCTTCGGCTCAGGTCATGGTCCCAGGGTCCTGGGATCGAGCCCCGCATGCGGGTCTCACTGCCCAGCGGGAAGCCTGCTTCTCCCTCTCCCACTCCCCGCTTGTGTTCCCTCTCTCGCTGTGTCTCTCTCTGTCAAATAAATAAATAAAATCTTTAAAAAAAAAAAGAAAAGAAACCCACAGACCCAAATTAGTGTCACTTTGACCAAGTTCCAAAACCGGCACTTAATACATAACCTAACCACAGTTTCAAACTCCCTCAGAAATGTAGTCTTAACTGGTCTGTCAGGAATTCTTCCATCAATGCCAATAAGTATGCCACATGGACCCTTCTCCATCCCCCAAAGGAAGAGAAATGAGGTCATCTGCATAAGACCCCTGGCTTTTCCCACTAGAAAGGAGCTAGCCTAGAACAGTCCTTTTCTTTTGCTAGTAACTTTCCTGCCTCCACACTCCTTCTATAAAAATCTTCCATTTTGTACAACTCCTTGGAATGCCTCTCTACTTGCTAGATGGGATGCTGCCTGATTTCATAAATCATTTCATAAAGCCAATCAGATCTTCGATTACTTGGTTGAACCTTGTTATTTAGCAGGAGCGAAGATAGTCTTAAGCAGATCAAAGAGACTAGGTCTAAGAGTGGGTCTGTGCTAATGTTTAAAACAGTGTACTATGAATTAATTCAATGTACCTTTCACTGGAATGAGACAAAATCAACTTAATATATGTGCTAATAAGACCGATAGCCTACTTGATAAAAACATTACTTCTGCTTTAACATCAGTTAGTAAAACAGCTTGCAAAACATCTAACAAAATGACGTCCATGAAGATTACTATTGCTACATTTTTAGGTAGGTAAATAATTTGTTGTGAATTACACTGGACTGACCTTGTTGTTTAAAAGGTAAGAGTCTAAGACTAAACTAAACCCAAAATAAGTAGAAGAAATAAAATAATGGTGAAGTAGAAATCAATAAAAGAAAAATACAAGAGAAAAATAAATGAAACCAAAAGTTGATTTTTTAAAAGATCAACAAAATAAAACACAAATTCCTAAAATCAGAAATGAAAGAGGGAGGGTTATCACTACGGACCTTACAGAAATCAAAGGATTCCAAGGAAATACTTTGAAAAACTTTAGACAGTGTAGATAATGGAACGGACAAACTCCTAAAAAGATACAAAGCACCAAAATTAACTCAAGAAGATAACAAATAATCTGAATAGATCTGTAAGAATTTCTACACATGCTTCCCACAAAGGAAAGCTCACGCCCAAATGGCTTCACTAGTGAACTCTACCAAATATTTAAAGGGAAAATTATATCAAACCTTCACAAACTCTTCCAGAAAACAGTGGAAAAGAGAACACTTCACCAATCATTTTATGAGGCCAGAAATACCCTGACAGACACCACAAGAAAACTACAAACCATACCCTCATGAATACAAACACAAAACTCCTGTACAAAATACCAGCAATCTGAAATTCCACAACAAATAAAAAAAGATTATACATCATGACCAAGTAGAATTTATTCTAAGAACGCCATATTGGTTTAACAACTGAAAAAAAATCAATTAATGTAATATTAATAAAGAACAAGAACACAATCTTCTCAAAAGATGCAGAAAAAGCATTTGACAACATCCAATAGCCATTTAAGATTAGAAACTCTCAACAAACTAGAAGTAGAGAGCAACTTCACCCTGATAACAAAATCCATGCAGCTAAGATCATACATAAAGGTGGAAGATTGAATGCCTTTCCCCTAAGATCAGGAACAAGGCAAAGATGTTCACTCTCACCACCTGTATTCAACATTCTATTAGCCAGCCAGTCCAGGGCGGAAAGGAGGGGAGGAAGGAAAGAAGAAAGGGCATTCACATTGGAAAGGACAAAGTAAATCTGTCCTTATTCACATATGACATAAAACAGCTTGCAAAACATCTAACAAAATGACAGATACAGAACTTGTATGTAAAAAAAACCCTATGGAATTCACACACACACACACACCAAAAAAAACTAGAAAGAATAAACAAGTTCAACAAGGTTGCAGAATACAAGTTCAATGTACAAAAACTATTGTATTTCTGGGGCACCTGGGTCACTCAGTTGGTTAAGCATCTGCTTTCAGCTCAGGTCATGATCCCAGGGTCCATTAACTGATGAATGGATAAACAAGTTGTAATATACCCATACAATGGATTACTGTTCAGCAATAAAGCAGAATGAAGTACTGACACATGCTACACACAGATGAATCCTGGACAAAATACTAGCAAACTGAATCCCATAACAAAAAGAATTATACACCACAACCAAGTAGGATCTATTCCAAGACTGCAAGGGTTGGTTTAACATCTGAAAAATCCACCAATGTAATATACCATGTTAACAGCATAAACAACAAAAAGATCATCTCAATAAATGCTAAGTAAAAGAAGCCACACACTAAAGACTACATATTGTACAATTCCATTTATATGAAATGTCCAGAAAAAGCAAATAGAGACAGAAAGTAGACTATTGGTTATCTGGGGCTGGGGTGGGAACAAGAAGTGACTGTAAATGGGCACAAAGGATCTTTTGGGGATGATGGAAAGGTTCTAAAATGCAATTACATTAACAGGTGCACAATTTCGTAAATTTACTAAAAATCTTTGAATTGTACACTTAAAATGAATGAAATATATGGTATATAAATTAAACTTCAACAAAGTTATTTCTGAAAAGATAACCTAAATTCTAACTATAACACAAGACTAGCAACATCTTAAGAATGATATATTCTTATTAAGTTCCCTTATACTTAACAAAGTATCTAACAATAAATACAAATGTTGAACTAAAAAATGAACTTGCCATGACTAAACGGTTTCCTTAAAAATAAAACTGAACAGTTCTAAAGTCAATTTTACTAACCAGAATTTTGTTTAGAGCCTGATGATCCTCCATGTTCTAGCTTTGCTTTCTTCTTCTTTGATGATGATGATGATGATTCAGAAGATACTGAACGTTTTTCTACTACAGGAGTGGAGAGAGCTCGTTTTTTGAACAGCTCCCGTTCTCTCAACAGGCTTGGATCCATAATTCTGCGAAGATATAAGTATTTTTAATACAGATTCTAATCATTCAAACCTATAGGCCAAATCCCTAGGTCCCAAGAATTACTTCCAAACAAAATTACCTTTATTAGCTCTCACCACTTGTATTTATTCACATAGTCATTCACTTAAAAATCTTTAATTAGTACCTATTGTGTGCCAGGCACCGTGCTAGGCATTAGTAAAGAGAAACAGAATTATTCTTTAAAGCTCTAGAACTGCACTGTCCAATATGATAGCCACTGGTCACATGTGCCTATGGAACACCTGAAATGGGGCTAGAGTTGAGATGTACTTGAAGTGTAAAATACACACCAGATTTAAAAGACATAGTATAAAGAACTTTTAGAATTACTGATGAGATATTTTAGATTGATTACATGTTGATAATATTTTGGATATGCTAGGTTAAATAAAATTTTAAAATTAATTTCCACCAACAATATGGTCATCTTAATAAATACAGAAAAAGCATGTGACAAAATAAAAATCCGTTCAGAATAAAAACTCTCAACAAAGTGGGTTTAGAGGGAACATACCTCAACACAACAAAGACCAAATATGAAAAACTCAAAGCTAACATCATACCCAATGGTTAAAATGTGAAAGCTTTTCCTCTAAGATCAGAAATAAGACAAAGATATCCACTCTCCCCACTTTTATTCAACACAGTAGTGGAAGGACTAGATGCAGCAATCAGATAAGAAAAATAAAAAAGCATCCAAACTTGTGGGGTGCCTGGGTGGTTAAGTGTCTGACTTTGGCTCAGGTCATGATCTCAGGGTCATGGGATTGAGCCCCACATCGGGCTCCCCAGTTAGCAGGGAGTCTGTTTGTCCATCTCCCTCTGCCCCTCCCCCCCCGCTCATGCACACACGCACTCTCTCAAATAAATAAAATCTTTTTAAAATCTTTAAAAAAAGATTATAAAGAAAATAAGCATCCAAACTTGTAATGAACACGTGAAACTGTCACTATTTGCAGAAGACATGATACTACATACAGAAAACCCTAAAGACTCCACCAAAAAAATTAATAAATGAATTCAGTGAATTGCAGGATACAAAATTAATATACAGGAATCTGTTCTGTTCCTATACATTAATAACAAAGTAGCAGGAAGAGAAATTAAGAAAAAAAATCCCATTTACAATTGCACCAGAAAGAATAAAATACCCGGAAATAAATTTAAGCAAGGTGGTCAAAGACCTACAGTCTAAAAACTGTAAGATACTGATGAAAGAAATTGAAGAGGACACAATCAAATGGAAAGATAGTCCACGCTCATGGATTAAAAGGATATCATTCAAATGTCCTTACTTCTCGAAGCAATCTTCAGATTCAATGCAATCTCAATCAAAATAACAATAGCATTTTTCACAGAACTAGAACATATAATCCTAAAATTTGTGGGGCACCTGGGTGGCTCAGTCGTTAAGCGTCTGCCTTCGGCTCAGGTCATGATCCCAGGGTCCTGGGATCGACCTCCACATCGGGCTCCCTGCTCCGCGGGAGGCCTGCTTCTCCCTCTCCCACTCCCCCTGCTTGTGTTCCCTCTCTGTCTGTGTCTCTCTGTCAAATAAATAAATAAAATCTTTAACAAAAAAAAAATCCTAAAATTTGTATGAAACCACAAAAGACCCTGAATAGCCAAAATAATCTTGAAAAAGCAGCACAAAGCTGGAGGTATCACTATCCCAGATTTCAAGATATACTACAAAGCTATAGTAACCAAACAGTATAGTGCTGGCACAAAAAGAGACACATAGATCAACAGAACAGAGAGCCCAGAAATAAACCCACACCTGGTCAATGAATCCACGACAAAGGAGGCAAGAACATACAATGGGGGAAAAGACAGTCTCTTCAACAAATGGTGTTGGGAAAACTGGACAGCTACGTGCAAAAAACAAATGAAACTGGACCGCCTTCTTACACCACACACAAATATAAACTCAAAATGGATTCAAGACCAAATATGAGACCTGAAACCTTAAAACTCCTAAAAGAAAACATAGACAGTAATCTCTTGGACATTGGCCTTAGTAACATTTTTTAGATAGGTCTCCTCAGGCAAGGGAAACAAAAGCAAAAATAAACTATTGGGACTTCATCAAACTAAAAAGCTTGTGCACAGCAAAGGAAACCATCAACAAAACAAAAAGATAACCTACTGAATGGGAGAAGATATTTGTAAATGATATGCCTGATAAGGGGTTAATATCCAAAATATATAAAGAACTTATATAATTTAACACCAAAAAAACACAACCACTCAGATTAAAAAATGGGTAGAGGACCTGAATAGATATTTTTCCAAAGACATATAAACGGCCAACAGATACATGAAAAGATACTTAACATTACTAATCATCAGGGAAATGCAAATCAAAACCACAATAAGATATCACCTCACATTAGTCAGAATGGCTGGTGTCAAAAAGACAAGAAATAACAAGTGTTGACAAGGATGTGGAGAAAAGGCAACCCTCATGCACTCTTGGTGGGAATGCAAACTGGTGCAGCCACTGTGAAAACAGTATGCAGGTTCCAAAAAAATTTTAAACAGAAATACCATATGATCCAATAATTCCACTACTGGCATTTACCCAAAGAAAACAAAAACACTAACTCAAAGAGATATATGCAGCCCTACGTTTACTGCAGCATTATTTACAAGATATGGAAGCAACCCAAGCGTCTATCAACAGATAAAGAAAATGTGATACACACACACACAATGGAATATTAGCCATAAAAAAAAAAAGAGAGAGATCTTGCCATTTGAGACAATATTGGTAAACCTACAGAGTATTATGCTAAGTGAAATAAGCAGAGACAAATACTATAGGATATCATTTATATATATATAATCTAAAAAAACAAAACAAATGAACAAACAGATTCTTAAATACAGAGAACATACTGTTAGTTACCAAAGGGGAGGTTGGTGAGGAGATGGGAAAAGTAGGTAAAGGGGATTAAGAGATACAAACTTCCAGTTACAAAACACGTAAGTCATGGAGATGAAAAGTACAGCATTACAGAATATACTCAATAATTTTATATTATTTTTTATATGTTGCATGGTGACAAATGAGGACTATACATATGGGAAGCACTAAGTAATGTATATATTCGTTGAATCAATATGCTGTACACCTAAAACTAATATAACATTGTATGTCATTTATACTTTTTCTTTCTTTTTTTTTCTTTTATTTTTTATTTATTTGAGAGAGAGTGAGAGAGAGAACCCAAGAGGGGGTAGGGTCAGAGGGAGAAGCAGACTCCCTGCTGAGCAGGGAGCCCAATGTGGGACTCGATCCCGGGACTCTGGGATCATGACCTGAGCCAAAGGCAGTCGCTTAACCAACTAAGCCACCCAGGCGCCCTCTTTCTCCCTTTCTTTTTTTTCTCTTTCTCCTTTTTTTTAAATGTAGGCTCCACACCCAGCATGGAACCCATGGCCCTGAGATCAAGACCTGAGGTGAGATCAAGAGCCAGATGCTTAACCAACTGAGCCACCCAGGCACCCCTGTCAATTATATTTCAATAATGAAAAATTAAAAATACAATTTCAAAAATTAAAACATTTTAAAAATTAATTCACCCTAATTTTTTCTAGTTTTTAAAAAAAATATGGTTACTAGAAAATTTTGAATTACATGTGTGGCTCACAGTTGCAGCTCACATTGTATTTCTATTGGACAATGCTGCTCTAGAAATAACATCAGAACTACTAGGCAGAAATTAGGAGGCAGATGTAGGCTCACTGCAAAAAGAGAGAGAGAGAGAGAGAACCATCAGAATTTCTTATAAATGAAAAGGTGTGTTTTAAAACTGGTGAACTCTCGGGGCACCTGGGTGGCTCAGTCAGTAAGGCATCCACTTTCGGCTTGGGTCATGATCTCCCTCTCCCTCTACCGCTCCCCCTGCTTGTGTTCTCTTGCTCACTCTCAAATAAATATTTTTTAAAAAATTAAAAATAAGGGGCACCTGGGTGGTTCAGTCGTTAAGCGTCTGCCTTCAGCTCAGGTCATGATCCCGGGCTCCTGGAACTGAGCCCCACATCGGGATCCCTCCTCGGCGGGAAGCCTGCTTCTCCCTCTCCCACTCCCCCTACTTGTGTTCCTGCTCTTGCTGTCATCTCTCTCTGTCAAAGAAATAAATAAAATATTTAAAAAAAATTAAACTGATGAACTCTATCATTAAGTAATAAAAAGGCTGGATTAAAATTTTTAGAAATAGGGGCCCCTGGGTGGCTGAGTCGTTAAGCGTCTGCCTTCGGCCCCCGGGATCGAGCCCCACATTGGGCTCACTGCTCAGCAGGAAGCCTGCTTCTCCCTCTCCCACTCCCCCTGCTTGTGTGCCCCCTCTCGCTGTGTTTTTTCTCTGTCAAATAAATAAATAAAATCTTAAAAAAAAAAAAACTGTTAGAAGTATCTACAGAAAATTCCTGATTTAGAGGGAGGTGGAACTAGACCTCTTTTGGTTTTTTCCCCAGTTCTAAAACTCCACAGTTCTGGGCGCCTGGGTGGCTCAGTTGGTTAAGTGTCTACCTTCGGCTCAGGTCATGATCCCAGGGTCCTGGGATCGAGTCCTGCATCGGGCTCCCTGCTCAGCTGCGAGTCTGCTTCTCCCTCTTCCTCTGCCGCTCCACCCCCCCACTTGTGCTCTCTCCCTCTCAAATAAATAAAATCTTTTAAAAAAAATACAAAATAAGGGAGTCTGGGTGGCTCAGTTGGTTGAGCGACTGCCTTCGGCTCAGGTCATGGTCCTGGAGTCCCTGAATCAAGTTCCGTATCGGGCTCCCTGCTCAGCAGGGAGTCTGCTTCTCCCTCTGACCCTACCCCTTCTCATGTGCTCTCTCTCTCATTCTCTCTCAATAAATAAAATCTAAAAAAAAAAACAAAATACAAAATAAAACTCCACAGTTCTAGCAACTTCAGTACAACCAGGGAAGCCACAGATCATTTAACAAGTAATTTTATTTAAGTAGGGCTTAAACTCAGAACCATGATACTGAGACCTGAGCTGAGATCAAGAGTCAGACACTTAACCTACTGAGCCACCCAAGTGCCCTTCAACAAGTATTTTAAAATGTTCTTCTCTTCGGGCACCTGGGTGGCTCAGATGGTTAAGCATCTGCCTTCGGCTCAGGTCATGATCCCAGGGTCCTGGGATCGAGTCCCACATCGGGCTCCCTGCTCCTTGGGAGCCGGCTTTTCTCTCTCTCTCTCTCTCTCATGAATAAATAAAAAAAAATTTTTTTTTTAAATGTTCTTCTCTTCTTTTACAATCTAATAATCACACTGCTGGGTATTCAGCCAAAGATTACAAAAACTTTAATTCAAAAAGATATATTCACCCCCATGTTTATTGCAGCATTATTTACAATAGTCAAATTACAGAAGCAGCCCAAGCGTCCATCGATAGATGAATGGATAAAGAAGATGTGTACACATACACACACACGATGGAATATTATTCAGCCATAAAAAAGAATGAAATCTTGCCATTTGCAGTAACATGGCTGGATCTAGAGAGTATAATGCTAAGCAAAATAAGCCAGAGAAAAACAAATGCCATATAATTTCACTCATATGTGGAATTTAAGAAACAAAACAAAGCTGAGAAAAAAAAAGACAAACCAAAAAATAGACTCTTAGCTATAGAGAACAAACTGATGGTTACCAGAGGGGAGGTGGGTGGGAGGGATGGGTGAAATAGGTGATAGGGGTTAAGAGTACACTTATCTCGATGAGCAATGAGTAATACATGGAATTAGTAAGTCACTATATTATACACCTGAAACTAATATTGCGCTGTATGTTAACTACACTGGAATTAGAATTTAAAATAAAAAAAGTTCCTCTCTTGAGACCCATAAGCACAGAAAAAACTGATGGTTGCCAGAGGAGAGAGGGATGAGGGGGATATGGGGAGGGGAGAAATGGGTGAAAGGGAGTGGGGTATACAGGCCTCCAGTTAAGGAATGAAAAAGTCATGGGGATGAAAGATTTAGCACTGGGGCACCTGCGAGGCTCAGTCGGTTGAGCATCTGCCTTTGGCTCAGGTCGAGATCCCAGGGTCCTGGGATCAAGCCCCGCATCAGGCTCCCTGCTCGGTGGGAAGCCTGCTTCTCCCTCTCCCATTCTCTCTGCCTGTGTTCCCTCTCTCACTGTGTCTCTCTCTCTGTCAAATAAATAAATATTAAAAAAAAAAAAAGGTTTAGCACAGGGAATATAGTCAATGGTATTGTAATAGCATTGTATGGTGACAAATGGTAGCTACACTTCTGGTAAGCATAGCATAAGTTATAGAGTTGTAAATTCACTATTTTGGGGGCACCTGGGTGGCTCAGTTGTTAAGGGGCTGCCTTTGGCTCAGGTAATGATCCCAGCGTCCTGGGACGGGTCCGGCTCCTTGCTCAGCAGGGAGCCTGCTTCTCCCTCTGCCCCTCTCCCCCACCCCGCCCGTCTCTCTGCTCTCTGACAACTAAATAAAAAATCTATTTAAAAATAAATAAATAAAATAAAATCACTATTTTGTATATCTGAAACTAAAGTAACACTGTGTGTCAATTAAGAAAAAGAGTTCCTGGGGTGCCTGGGTGGCTCAGATGGTTTAAGTATTTGCCTTTGGCTCAGGTCATGATCTCCGGGTCCTGAGATCAAGCCCTATGAGCCCCCACGTTGGGCTGGCAGGGAGTCCATTTCTCCCTCTCTTTCTGCCTCTCCCCCCTGCTCATGCTCACACTCGCTCGTGCGCTCTCTCTCTCCCTCTCTCTCAAATGAATAAAATCTTTAAAAAAGAAAATTTCCTCTCTTGTTTGAACTCTCCTAAATACCATGGAAAGTCTAGGAAGCACAATAAGCTGACCATGTAAATGATTTTTGCATTCTTCACAAGTAGGGAAGGAAGGTCTGGGAGGAAAAAGACTTTTTTTTTTTTTATTTTGTTTTGCTTTGTTTTTAATAGGTTCCATGCATAGTGTGGAGCCCAACGTGGGGCTTGAACTCACCACCCAGAGATCAAGACCTGAGCTGAGCTCAAGAGTTGGACACTTAACCATATAAGCCACCCAGGTGCCCCCATCTTAACTGTGAAAGCCTTCATGCACAGTGTAGCTCAATAAATATTTGTTAAATGAATAATGAACACAAAAACATCTTTAAATTGTTTTAGCCTTGTTACAGGTTTCACAAGCCTTTATTAAATGTCTTATGTTTCTGACTCTAAGCTTTGTGTACTTGTCTTGTGTTTATGTACTTCAAGCTTTGAAGAGTTCTAGAAGATAAACCCTTTCCTTCAAGCAGCTTACATTTGAGAATATTAAAAAATTGAGCACTTTGCTTAAAAACCAATGAATAAAATGTGACTTAGAGTGCTAAAAGTTAAAAATACAAGCACTGATAAGAAATAATCAGAGTAGGGGCGCCTGGGTGGCTCAGTCGTTAAGCATCTGCCTTCGGCTCAGGTCATGATCCCAGAGTCTTGGGATCGAGCCCCACATCGGGCTCCCCGCTCAGCGAAAAGCTGCTTCTCCCTCTCCCACTCCCCCTGCTTGTGTTCCCTCTCTCGCTGTGTCTCTCTCTGTCAAATAAATAAAATCTTTAAAAAAGAATCAGAGTAAACTTTACTTGAATGAGTAAGAGTCACTGGCACTGGTATCAAAGATCTGACTTCTGGAACCCTCAGTACTAATCTCTAACTGCAACATGACCCTAGGCAATCCACTAGACCTCTCTAAATCCAATTTTATCATAAGCAAAATGACAGTACTACCTATGCAGTCTATATCTAGCCCAACTTTAAAATCAATGTTTGTGAAAAGCAATTTTTTTTAAATAATAAAGCTATACAAGTATGTTTGAGATGGATCTGAAAAGAAATAACAGAATGATTATGCTAGGGTGAGGAAGATAGGAGAGAGTCTCGGGGGGAGGGGGAGGGAGTGGGGGGGGAAAAAGGAGAAATCAAAATGATAAAGTGGGGCAACAAGCCAAAAACAGGAAGCATGTGTAGCTGTTTATTTCACCTTGTAAAGAGAGGTAATTAAACCAGGCTTTAATCATGATTTTAACACAAACTTAAACAAACGCCTTAGTTTACAAAAACCTAAATGCTTACAGCACTCGAGCCTCACAACTCTATGAGACAATTGGTATTAGTTTTATTCCTTATTTTAATATGTGAAATCTGAAGTGAAGAGGTACAGTTAGGGTTACACATTTGTAAGTACCTAGGCCAAGACACCAATACCCTGCCTCCTAAATCAAATGCTTCCTTACTGCAGACCTGAAACGCTGGTCAAGGCCTCTAAAACAAAGGCGACCTGTGTGCTCTGGGTAACGTTCAACGGCACCTCGAGCAGAAGGCTTAATGTCTGTCTGTCTCTCTCTCTCCCACCATCGCATGCTCCGCCTCACTTTTCCTCCTTTTTTTCAGACTACTCAACAAATCCGTAGAGCTTTACATATACTGACCTATGCAGTAGACAGGATACGTTACCATGCCCATTTTCCACTTAAAAAAAAGACAAAAACAAAACATCACAACTCAGGGAGTTAAACGTGTTCCTCCATGGATGGTCACTGAGAAGCCAAAAATTAAATCAAAATCTTCTGGCTCCAAAGCACACGTTCTTTCCACTCTACCATACGGCTTTTTTCAAGCTTTCTACTTTTCCTCTCTTTCGCCTCTTTCCCTGCGTAAGCCTCAGAGCTGCCACTGGCACCTAAGAACACCGCCAAGAACAACCAGCAAGGTAAGAAACGAGACTGCTTCCCTCTTAAATCACAGGAATGGAGAAGTGGACGAAAAGGCACCGTAGTGTTTGGGTCTGGAACATGTCTCTAGACTTTGCAGCCAAAACGACTATAATAACTAAAGTTTAGGGATCGTTACAAACCCCGTCTCCAAAGACAGCTTAAAAAAATAGCCCGTAAAGGTGCATCTAAATCAAAGCCTTTAGTTGGACACCGTGGTTCCCTAAACTGCACACACGTTTCGCTCGCCTACTGCTGATGTAAAGTCGGGGGCTAGAAGGAGACACAATCAGCTCTCTGATTGCGAATTTCCCCTCTTTCCAACCCAAAAGTTTGCTCAATGGACCTCCGGCCTAAAAGACAACGCTCCCAAGAAGTTGTTACTGTGTTCAGTGTTTCGCGCAGGGAACCGCAGCCCCAGCCTCCCGAGAGCTGGAAGGCAAGCTCGGCCCTCGGGAGGACGCGGTCCCGAGGAACAACAGGCCGGGGCTCCGCTCCCCTCACCCGGCGGCCGCAGCCCCTACCTGAGCGAGGAGGGCCGCCCCACGCGACCGGCCGCCGCCTCCCAGCGCCTCCACCTCGACCAGCCGCCCACGCCCGCGTGGCCACCGCTTCCTGCTCCTCGTCAGCGCCCCCGCCTGCCCGCACGCACGCCCAGCGCAGCCCCGCCAGGTCGGGGTCTCGGCACTGGCGGCGGCGGCGGCGGCGGCTGAGGCGGCGCGACTCGGCCGGGGGCTCCGCCCGCCACTTCCTGATCAGGCTACTAGGAGCTCAGTCCCGGCAGGCACCGCGGCGCCCCCGCCGCCGAGAACGCGCGTGCGTCGTCACGTGCCCCGCCAAAAGTCTGGCAGGAGGGGACTCAGCCAGCCGGGGCGTCCCGCATTTCTATGACAACGGGGCGGAGGGGGGAAGGGCGGAGAATGAGACTCAGGTAGGAAGAAAGTAGCCGTTACTGCAATGGAAAAAACCTCTCCTTTGCAGAAGTTTAAAGCGGCCAGATCCTCCTCCAGGTGTTTGGTACTTTACTTCAAATGCTAGTCACCAGCACCTGAACTTCAAAGGACATTGTCGCAGCTCTCTCTTTTACAAGTCAGGAAACAACAGGCCCGGTGAAGCTCAATGACTTGCTCAAGACCGCACGGCTAGCAAAGGCAAATACGGACGTGGAGCCCAGCTTAAATTCCCAACCACCACACCTGTGAACTTCCTTGGACAAGGATTTAGAACTCAGAAGCAACCTAAAGAGATAGGATAAAGCCACGACAAAGATAACTGGCGTTGCCCACAGCCTTGGAGGTATTGGAGTGTGTCAATTCCCTGTCCTTTCCTCACTCTTAAAACCTGAGGTGGCCGCAAAGCCAGTGCTCGGCTATTCTGCAGCTATTTAATTACTTAGTACTGATTAGTCAAGTTATTTAACCTGTGCCTCAGTTTTCGCATCTGAGATATGAGACTAGTAATTGTACTACCAATACAGGGTACTTGCATTGGACTGATGTGAAGACTAAATGAAATAATACATCAATTTTTATCCAAAACTTGGAAATAAAGCCAAAAGATGGTTGAGGTGTGGCTCTTTGAAATTAGTTTCATTCTAGAGAATTTTCTCTTTTTTTTCTAGAGGATTTTCTAATAAACTCACTTGTTCATCTGACACCCTCAGGAAATGTAACTTTGCTGGAATATTACAACCCAGTAAACTCAGAGTTTGGTTAAAAAAAAAAAAAATGATGAGGTGTAATGGAGAGCAGGAGCCGGCAGCAAGTGAAAAAAAATTATCCCCAAAGTTAAAATTACCTTGTCCTGAGAAACATGAGCCAGTTTTGTATCAGTTTATTAATTTGTATGTCATCGTTCCTTTCCCCAATTATTATATAAAGCCTAGTTTCTCATATCCTCTTGGAACCAGTTCCATCATTCTGCTGGCTCTTTATTAATGAGTGAGAGATTTAATATACAAATAGGACAATGGCTAGACCATATGTAATAATAAAACACTGACCCACATAAGAAACCAGCCTCTGCAGCAATTAGCTCAAGATGGTCAAGATTTGCTCAAAGGCTGCCAACTTCCCCCACCCAACACACACATATACTCACACATGGTTGTTCATTCGTATCAGGACCAGCTAGAGAAAACCAAATACATATGCTCCCCAAACCAATCACTCTTCTGGTGGTTCCACCTCCAGCTTCCTCTACCAACAACCTTTAATCGGAACCATGGGGCGCGTGGGTGGCTCAATTGGTTAAGCATCCCACTCTTGATTTCAGCTCAGGTCATGATCTCAGGGCCATGAGATTGTGAGATGGAGCCCCACGTCAGGCTCCACCTTCAGCAGGGAGTCTGCTTGGGACTCTCTCCCTCTCCCTCTGCCCACCCTATTGTGTGCTTGTTCTCTCTCTTGCTCTCTCTCAAAGAAATAAATAAATCTAAAAAACAAGAGCCTACCAGAAGCATCCCCCTTTTTTTCATTATAAAGTTTTCCCCTCTCCCTAACTGCCTTTGAATCTCTACCAAACATAAGTGAAAATGGCTGACTCCCTTGCTATAGTACACTCTGTAGTCTTTCTCAAGGGAGTGGCCTTCGTTTATTTCCATTTGTGTTAAATAAAACTTTGACACCTACTCACTTTTTAGTCACTTGAGAATTATGAGTTTAACAATTAGAGAATCATGCTTTTACAGAACTAGGTTTACCACATGGAAAGCACTCAGTGAACTGTTAAAAGATAAACTGAAGTACATTAAATTTTTGAAGAGTTTATTTGAGCAAACATTGATTCAAGTCAGACAACCCCAAACAGAAAATGGTTCAGAGTGTTCAGAAGCAAATCAAAAGAAGTATTTGAATAAGCAGTTACTCTATTTGGGAAAGCCTACTTAGTTTGTGATTAGTAGTTATTAAGTTTCATTTTCTCAGATTCAAGGTCATTGACTTTGGCTTAGGTTTCAGTTTGCTTATGTTGGTTACCAAGGCATTAGAGCCTCCTTAGTCTAACAGCCTCCTTGTTTAATTACTTTAACAAAATGCCCACAACTATTACTTTATTTCAATGTCTTCTCTCATTTCACCCAACTGGGACAGACACTGGACAGGTAAGCTTTCTAACACCAATATTAGAATATGTTATTTACAATTCAAACCCTCAAATATCATTGCCCCTTCTTTACCCAAATATTACCTGTTACTATCATTGCCCAACTTGAAACCCTCCCATACACATCCCAGCAAATGATTAATATATATAAATGTTGAATCTGGTCAACCAGTGGTATTACCACTGTTTGTACTGCCTGTTGCCTGTGACTAGGTCATAACACGGAAAACAGTGACTGCATTCATTCAGGGCACTTTTCTGTGATATACTGTACTCTGATAGTACTCCTCAAGTGAAGACAAAAATCAGCTCCCAATTTGACCCATAATTAGGCCATTTTTGTGTTGGAAGTACTTACATATGGATACCACACTACAAATGAACTAAAAAAGGGTTCTGTTTGCTTGCTGGTGATATTGACTATGATAACGACCACCTTAACCATTTCCAAACAGCATTAACCCAAATTAGCTTGAGTTCAGAGAATTCAAGATTTGGGGATAAACATATAGATTGTTATTCTACCTTCTCATCCTTATTACACAATGTAGACACCACCTGGATTGCTTCTGAGGCAGCCTCAAGCCAGGGCTTCGCGAAGACATAGGAATAGTATCCCATAGGGACACCTGGGTGGCTCAGTTGGTTAAGTGTCTGCCTTCAGCTCAGGTCATGATCCCAGGGTCCTGGGATCGAGTCCCGCATTGGGCTCCCTGCTCAGTGGGGATCCTGCTTCTCCCTCTGCCTGCAGCTCCCCCTGCTTGTGCTCTCTCTCTCTCTCTGATAAATAAATAAAATCTTTAAAAAAAAAAGTATCCCATAATGAGGTGAAGGACACAACTATTTATAGAGACATGGCTATTTGTGTAATACACTTGAAGTCTCCACAATGGATGCTTAAATAAATCTTTATAATAATTCAAATCACCTACATATTGGCAACCTCAGTACTTCCAGATCAGAAGGGTATAGCTAGTATCAAAGTATATGAAGAATGATCCAAGCCACTAATACAATAGCAATGTATGTCTTATCTCATGAGTGATTATAACACCCTGCATACTCTTTGGTGGAAGGTATGGTGACTTCTTCAGGATTATGAGTTTAACAATTAGAGAATCATGCTTTTACAGAACAGAATATAATTTGTATTATTTTATAAAACACTCTTCTGTTCTGACCTACCCAAACCCTCCTACCCCAATTCAGTATAACCACAGGATTCCAATATATTGGATTAATTTTCTTTATGATTTTATTTGTGGTATATATCATAAAATTTGCCATTTCAACCATTTTAAAGCATACAACTTGGTAGAATTAATTACACTCACAATATAGTACAACCATCATCACTATTTCCAAAAATTTTCTTCACTCCAAACAGAAACTCTATACTCATTAAGCAATAACTCCCCATATCCTCGTCTCCCCAGCTCGGTAATTTCTAATCTACTTTCTATCTCTATGAATTTGCCCTAATTCTAGATATTTTATTTAAGTAGAATAATACAATATTTGTCTTTTAGTGTCTGGCTATTTCACTTGATAAGATGTTTTCTTTTTTTTAAGGTTTATTTATTTATTTATTTGAGAGAGGGAGAGAGTACACATGGGGGGGGCAGAGGGAGAGGGAGACAAGGAGACTCCCCACTGAGCCCCTGAGATCATGACCTGAGCTGAAATCAAGAGCTGGATGCTCCACCAACTGAGCCATCTAGGCGCCCCTTGATACAATGTTTTCAAGGCACATCCATGTTGTAGCATGTATCAGAACTTCATTCTTTTTTATGTAGTAGTTTAATTTTACATTTTATTTTTTTAGTTGCTTGGAAGAGGAAAACTACAGTAAGGCAAATTAATTTACTTCATTCTGCCATCAAATAACTGCCTTTTTTTTTTTTAGGAATAATAACTGCCTTTCAACTCCCCTCACCTGTTCATCTATCTCAACAAATGAAACAGATACCTAAATTCTCAAAATAGCCAAATTAGCAAATTAGCTCAAAAAAGCAAATTAGCTTACATCCACACAAATCAAGAGTTAAAGTATTTTGCTCATCACCTGTCCTGAATTTCCCTAGCATTGACAGTCTCCGCTCCCTTAGAGCCTTTCCCCAGCCTTCTTGGGTAGCCTACCCAATCCTGTAAATATCTTTCCAGGACCCTGCTTCCTTCTCAAGCATTAATCCCGTAAAGAAGGAAAAGTCTTTTTTTTTCCCCCTCTACCCATCTAAGTTCTCAGGAAGGGGCCCTGTAATTAGACTAACAAAAGAGAGGTTAACAAAAGAAAAACAAACAGAAGTTTATTAATGAGCATCACACATACATAGGGGAGTACCTGGAGATGAGTAATTCAAAGGGGTGGGTAGAACTTGAGCTTATTAGCTTTTTTTTTTTTAAGATTTTACTTTTAACTAGTTGCTACATCCAACGTGGGCCCCATTATTTAGCATTCTAACAAAAACAAAAAATAAAAAAACAAGGGGTGCCTGGCTGGCTCAGTCGGTAGAGCATGTGTCCCTTGATCTTGGGGTTATAGGGTTTGAGCCCCACATGGGGTATAGAGATTACTTAAAAATAAAATCTTTAAGATAGATAGACAGGTAGATGGATAGATAGATAAGTCTCCAATAACTAAATTTGTCCTTCCTGGTAGAGAGAGTAGGGAGAA